TTCGCCTCTCCCCTCCCGCTGCTCGTCCTGCTTCCCCGTCCTGATCTCATTGTAAGCCACCGCATGATCCTTCTCCTCCTCATGTTCCTCCCCTGTCCCATCCCCTCATCATCAACATAATCACCAGCACGATCACCGTCGTACTCAACGTCGTCACCAGATTCACCATCAGCATCATCAGCATGTGCAGCAGCAGCATCATTATCAGCATTCGCATCATCATCAGCCGCATCGTCATCATCACCATCACCATCACCATGACCATCGCACACACTCAGCATCCTCTGCAGCAGCATCGTCAGCATCATCATCAGCATCATCATCAGCAGCAGCAGCCTCAGCATCAGCAGCGTCATCAGCATCATCATCGCCATCATCATCATCATCATCATCATCATCGTCATCATCATCAGCAACATCAGCATCATCATCATCATCATCAGCATCATCAACATCGTCATCGTCCTTGCAATCAGCATCGTCGTCACCACCGTCGTCAGCAGCAGCATCAACATGCGCAATGTCAGTATCACCATCTGAAGCATCATCATCATCAGCATCACCATCATCATCGAACTCAGCATCATCATCAGCATCAGTATCATCACCATCATCGTCGTCATGGTCATCATCATCGTCCTCATCATCCTTACCCGTCGATTCGTCATCACGACCACCACAATAACCAAAAGCATCGGAATCATCATCACCATCGTCACCGTCATCATCATCGTACTCAAGATCTTACTCATCGTCGTCATCATCACCACCACCATCATCTGCATCATAAGCATCAGCATCATCAGCATCATCGTCATCATCAGCATCCTGATCATCAGCAGCATCTCCAGCGTCATCGGCGACGCCGTCGACAGTGTCATCGTCATCAGCATCGATATCATCCTAAGCATTATCAACATAGTATTCATCACCACAGTTATCTGCGGCGTCGTCCTCCTCATCACAACAACCACGATCGTCAGCATCATCATGATCCTCATCATGGTCATCGAAAGAAAAATCGTCAGCATCATCATCATCATCATCATCATCAGCATCAGCATCATCATCAATATTGACATCATCGGATCATCGTCAGCAGCAACATCTGATTAATCCTCCTCGTCTTCATTATCGTGCCCATCACCATCACAATCACCCACCTAATCATCTTCAACGTCATCACCATCATCATCATCGTCGTCGGCATCATCATCTGCATCGACAGCATCATCATTATAATTATCAGCATTGTGAGCATCATCGTCATCATCGTCATCGTCGTCGCCGCCATCGTCATCACCATCGTCAAGCCTTCTCGTCATCAGCATCGACACCACTATCATCATCGTACTAATCATCACCACTGTAACCCTTCTCATCGCCCTCCTCATAACCACAACCACGATCATCATCATCATCATCATCATCATCATCATCACCATCATCATCGTCATCGTCTTCATCATCGTCGTCACCATCGTGGTCGTCAACAACATCCTACTTATCCTCCTCGTCCTCACCATCACACTCATCATCATCACTATAGTCACCAACCTAATCATCGTCCATGGCATCATCGTCATAATCCTCATCAGCATCAGCATAATCAGCATCAGCATGGTCGGCATCATCAGCATCAGCAGCATCACCACCACCATCATCATTATCATCCTCCTCCGCATCATCATCATCATCATCATCATCATCATCATCATCATCGTCATCATCAACAGCATCATCATCATCGTCATCATCATCGTCATCATCGTCATCGTTATCCTCCTCCTCCTCATCATCATCACCAACATCATCATCGTCGTCATCATCGCGTAATAATCATCATTACCATCATATTAATCGCAATCAAGTTAAACCCCTCTGCCCCCCTTCCGCATGCTCATGCACGTTTACCCCTCCCCTCGCCTCCCTATTACCCTTGATCCCTCCCATCTCATCACCCCACCTCCCTGTATCTTTCCCTCGTATTGCCTTCCCCATGCTGCTGGGGTTGGGAGGAGCAGCAAGAGGATAAGCGGCAGTCGGAGGAAGAGGAGGAAACTGGAGCGGTGGGTGCACTCGGGGCAGCCCCCCAGCCGCCGGCAGGGATGGAGAAGGAGCAGCTGAAGTTCGTGGACACGCTCAGCTGCTGCCCTTCGCCCTCTGCGCTCTTCTTCCTGGCCACCACCTTGAGCGAGTGCACACGCATCTCTCCTGTGGGGGCGGGGGGGGGAACCAAAAGGTACCCATACCGCTACTCCCCAGACCTCTCCTGGGGTGCGTTCTGACCAGGATTTCGAGGCGAATCCAGCGGTGGCGACAAGGGCCTCCCAGGAGGCCCGAAAAGGGAAAAACGAGGGAAGAGTAGAGGTCGGAGGTGAGGGGGTGAGATCGAAATGGAACGGAGAGCCACCCTACCGGGAAATCGGTTTCGGTTTCGTGTTCGTGCGTGCCGTGCGTGCGGGCGAGGCGAAGCTGCGTGGGCGGGCGAGAAGAAAGTCTCCTCCGGCTGAAGCGCGGCCGGACCAAATGATTCCTCTACGGGGGCCGGTGCCGCGCGCTGTCCCGCCGGTGTCCCACCTCGGGCTGAGGCGCGGCCGGACCAAATGATTCCCCTCCGGGGGCCGGTGCCGCGCGGTGTCCCGCCGGTGTCCCGCCGGTGTCCCGCCGGTGTCCCGTCGGTGCCCCGATGATGATGATGATGATGATGATGATGATGATGATGATGATGATGATGATGATGATGATGATGATGATGATGATGGTGATGGTGATGGTGATGGTGATGGTGATGGTGATGGTGATGGTGATGGTGATGATGATGTCGATGATGGTGATGATGATGATGATGGTGATGGTGGTGATGATAATGGTGTCCCGATGATGATGATGATGATGATGATGATGATAATGATGATGATGACGATGATGATGATGTTGACGATGTTGATGATGATGATGGTGATGATAATGATAATGGTGATGGTGGTGATGATGATGATGTCCCAGTGATGATGATGTTGATGATGATGTTGCTGATGATGATAATGGTGTCCCGATGATGATGATGATGTTGATGATGATCCTGATGATGTTGATGATGATGATATGAAGATAAGATGATGATGAAGATGATGATGATGGTGTCCCGATGATGATGATGATGCTGATGATGATGACGATGATGGTGTCCCGATGGAGATGATGATGATGATGATGGTGGTGATGAGGAAGATGATGAGGTGGTGATGATGATGTTGATGATGGTGGCCCGGTGATGGTGCTGATGATGATGCTGATGTTGATGATGATGATGATGGTGTCCCGATGATGATGATGATGATGATGATGATGATGATGATGATGGTGGTGATGATGATGATGGTTACGATGATGATGGTGTCCCGATGATGATTATGTTGATGATGATGATGATGATGTTGATGATGATGGTGTCCCGATGATGATGATGATATTGTTCATGATGATGATGAGAGAAGATGATGATGATGGTGGTGTTCCGATGATGATAATGGTGTCCCGATGATGATGGTGTTGATGATGATGGTGACGATGCTAGTGTCCCGATGATGATGATGATGATGATGATGATGATGGCGATGTTGATGACGATGTTGATGATGATGGTGATGATGATGGTGATGAGGTGATGATGGTGATGGTGTCCCGATGATGATGATGAGGTGATGATGGTGATGGTGTCCCGATGATGATGATGATGATGATGCTGATGATGATGATGTTTATGACGTTGATGACGATGATGTTGATGCTGATGATAATGATGACGTTGATTGTGAGATCGATTGTGGTATCGATAGTGAGATCGATAGTGAGACCGAATGTGAGATCGATTGTGAGATCGATCGAATGAAATAGGTCGAGTGAGATCGATAGTGAGATCGATTGTGAGATCGATAGTCAGATCGATTGTGAGATCGATCGAATGAAATAGATCGAGTGAGATCGATTGTGAGATCGATCGAGTGAGATCGATCGAGCGAGACCGATAGTGAGATCGATAGTGAGATCGATAGTGAGACCGATCGAGTGAGACGTTGGTTCCTTCCCCCCCCGAACCTCCTTATCACCCGAAGGGTGATCGTATAGGTATGGGTACCTTTTCCTCCCCTCCTCTGAGGGGCGGCGAGGACGCGAGCGCCCAGCATAGCATGCCCCTTGAGAGCTCTAGGAGACGAGACGAGACGAGACCAGGCGAGCGCCCGAGTCGCGCGCGCCCCGCCTGCCTGGGAGCCCGCTCGCGCCCCTCAGGGTACGGGGCGTGGCGTGGAGGCCTCCTCCTCCTCCTCCTCCTCCTCCTCCTCCTCCTCCTCTTCATCCTCCTCCTCCTCCTCCTCCTGCTGAGAGGCAGGGGGAAGGGGAAGGGGGGAAGGGGAAGGGGGTGGGACAAGTTCCATACGTATCCGCCGCCGCTGGCCAGGCCCATCCTGGGCCCAGGAGCGGTGCATACGCCTTCCTGGCCAAGCCAGGGGGCCATGTACACCGATACGGGGCCCGGGATGGGCCTGGACAGCGGCGGTGGAGATATTAGATCTGGTCAACAGGGAAAGGGGAAAGAGGGGGTGAGGGCAAGCTAGGTGCGCTCGCGCCCTATTGGACATCCTACCCCTCCAACCCATCCCTTCCCATTGCGCTGATGCTTATCGATCCGCGGACGCGTGTCATAGCCGACATGGAAGTGCCAAAAAAGTCCCCATCGTCTTATGCGCAGTCGGAAAATTTGAGCCGTGTATATAGGAGGAGGGGGGCGAATGAGGAGGACATGGCGGATGAAAAGGAGGAGAAAGGCGGAGAACCAGGACAAACAGCAGCAGCGGGAACTGCAGTGAAGGAGCGAGAGGAGCAGGGGACCAGGGAAAGGCGGAGGAGGGGAAACGAGGGGGGCGATAACAATGAGGAAGGACTCGGATACAGGAAAGCCTGCGTTGGGGCGAGTGCGCCATTCTGGGCCTGCCCGTCGGTCCGTCGCCGCCACGTCGCTCTGGGCCTGCCCGTCGGTATGGCGGCTGTGTGGTCTCCGTCGCCGCCCCGTCACCGCCTCGTCGCCGCCCGTCCTCTGGGCGGCGGTGACGGTCTGGCTGCTATGTCGCCACCGCCCCGTCGCCGCCTCGTCGCCGCCCGTCGTCTGGGCCTCACACGGATTGTACCTCATTGCACAGATTGCGCAACACAACCACGCACAGACACAGACACAGACACACACACACACACACACACACACACACACACACACACACACACGCATTGCACCACATAGATTGCACCACACGGATTGCTTTACCATAGAGTGAATCACATTGATTGCACCATATAGCTTGCACCACATGCATTGCACAACATAGCTTACACCACCACCTGTATTGCATGCACCACATGTATGGCAGCGCCCAGCTTACACAAAATATACTGCACCACTTAGCTTACACCACTGAGATTGCACCACAAAGCTTTCACCACATCCATTGCAATACATAGGTTGCATTGTCCAGCTTCCATCACGTAGTTCACACCACAGACATGTGTACACCTACATTACACCACATACGTTGCACCACATAGACTGCGCCACATGGATTGCACAGCTGGCATCACATGGATGGCATCACGTAGATTGCAACACCTAGCATGCTACAACACGCCGTTCAGGGTCCACGCTGGCGAGCATTGAATAATTGCAGAGTGGAGGGGCGCTGCACGGGTGCCGCTCTCCATCGTCCGCGGCCGTCAGCACGAAGTGGCTGTTGTGGGTTGGGGACAGCTCCATCTGCGTCACCCGGGTGCCCGCCGCGTGGCCGAGGTCCACCCCCTCCAGCAGCGCGTCCCCCTTGGATGGGAAGGATGAGCGGCAGCAGCAACGGCAGGCGGAGGGAGAGGCGGACGCCGGCACGGCCGAGGACGAGGACCTGCCGCAGCAGGAGCGCGAGAGGGACCTGGAGGCGGCAGAGGCAGAGGCAGAAAAGGAGGCGAAGAGGGGAAGGAGAGGATGACGACCTGGAGGTCGAACACGGAGAGCCGTGACTCCGCCGACATGACCACCATCAGCGAGCCTTTCTTGAGCGGCATGAAGGCGTGGAAGCGGACCTGCGGCAGCATCGGGAGCGGCCAAGAGGGGGGTGTCCAAGAGGGGGGGGGTGCAAATCATGACCGGCGGCATGTGCGCGGCCCAGCGGGGGGGGGCCTGAGACGTACTGAAATAAGAAGAGGCGCCATGAAATCTGCGGAGATATCATGGCCGGCGCCATGATATCCACCCCCCCTAGTCATCACCCCCCTCTTTTCCGCCCCCGACAGCAGGGGGAGACGAAGAAACAGCAGCAGTAGCCGGGGGGGGTCGAGGCCAAAGAGGGGGAGGAGGAGCAGCAGCAGGAGCTCTGATGTCTGCGACCTCCCGAGGCTGGAGTCCTCTGGGAATCCACTCCCAGACCTGACACTTTGCTGCAATACCGTGCGGCAGTTACAAAAAGCACCGTTGGCGGCCACCATCATGCTGCCGTATGCTGTTTCGCGCAGGCGGATCTGCGTGGGTGAACGCGTGACGCTGAATGCAGGTACGCGTAATAAAGCTGTGCACACGATCGTGCCTGCAATCATGAATACGCAGATCGTGATGCGCGTACGCACAAACACATGCTACTTCCACCTGGGTACGTGTGGACTCATGGTACGCGGGCGCGTGGGCGTGGGCATCCATGCGTGCACAACAGCGCATGTGCATGCGTGCACGTGCGAACACATGTATGCACACGCTCCACAGAAGCTGGGACCTGTGTCCCCTCCCCGAGCGTGCGCAGGGGCGTGAAGTGGCGCGAGACGTTGGTCGACACGGGCCTGTGCCTGGCGTCGAAGGACATCTCGCCGACCGGATAAAGAGGATGGGGAGGAGGCGCACCAGAAGACGGAGGGAGACGACGGAGAAGGACGATGAAGGATGATGAAACGGACGAGGACGATGAAGGACGCGGTGGAAGAAGGAGGATGAGGAGGAGAAGGAAGATGAAGGAGGACTGGGAGGATTGGGAGGAGGAGGAGAAAGAGCAGGAGGAGGAGGAGGAGCATCAGAAGGCGGAGGAAGGACGGCGAAGAAGGACGAGGTGGAAGGACGCAACAGTGGAGGTGGGAACCGAGGAGCGAGGGGCAGGGGGAGCGGTGAGGAGGGGAGGGGAGGGAACCAGGACGAAGACAAGCAGGAGCAGAAGGAAGACGACGACGATGACAAGACAAGTGATGGAGAATAAAAGAAGAATCTGGGCACGGCCGATGAAGGAGTGAGGGGGAGAAGAAGAAGAAGAAGAAGAAGTGAAGAACGACGAGAAGGATGAGGAAGAGGAGAAACAAGACGACGAGAAGGACAAGGAGGGGAAGGAAAAAGACGAGGATGCCGAAGAGAAGAGTAGGGAAGGAGCAGGAAGACGACACAGCGATCCGCCACCGTGCCTCTGGACACAGAAGGGGCGCCTCGTCAGGTCCTTTGCCCAATCCCTGGCGCCGCAGTCCTGTCCTGACGAGTCTTTAATACCCTTCGGCGAGCTTGGCGCGGTTGCCCTGGGCTCCGGCGCATCTCCCCGCGCCACTCTTCGGGGCCCAAGGGGCCCGAAAGACAGGCCAGGGAGGCCTCAAGGGGCCCCGAGGACGGTACAAGAGGGCCCCGAGCCGCCGAGCGATCGCTCCAAGACGCTCGAGATGGCCCCCAGACGGCTCAAGAGGCCCCGAAGTCGCCCCGAGAAGCCTCCAAGATGCCTCCCAGGAGGGCCCCAAGAGGCCAAATCTGCGGTTTCCCTGAGGTTTGTGGAGGTTCTCGGGTTTCTCATCTGTTCGGCTTCCCGACGCTCCAAGACGGCCCAAGAGGGCACCAAGATCGCCCCAAGACGGCTCAAGAGGCCTCCACGAGGGCCGAGACGCCCCAAGAGGGCCCCGAGACAGCCCAAGAGGCGCCCAAGACGGCCCAAGAGGGCCCCAAGACGGCTCAAAAGGGCCCCAAAAGCGGGAGCAGCACGAACCGAAAATCCGAGCCTTCCGCCCCAAGAGGCCCCCAGGCCCCCCGAGGCGCCCAGCTCGTGCGGGGCCCGCTTTCTGCGCTATGGCTGGCACGCCGGCGGCGACGGGCTCGCGGTCGGCGGCGGATCGCGGCGGGCATGAGGTCTCGGCGCAGGGTTGTGTGAGGCGTCTATTTTGAAGCGCGCGCGGGTTGGGGTTGCATCGTCGTGGATGGGGCGCGATCGTTCTCTTCTGACCATCTGGCCCCCGCCAGGCGTAAACGGCACGACCTCGATGGCCCTCTGGGGCGGTACGAGCCCCATGAGCTCCAGACGGATGTCGCGGTCGTCATTGACGTTGTTGAAGCTGTCGTTCTGCTTCGCCGCAAGGGCCTCGCGCGCGGCCTGGCGCAGGTCGTTGCCGAAGTGCGACATGAAGTTGTGGACGTCCACTGTCTGAACTCGCACGCAGCCGAGCACGACGATCTTCCCAGGCTCGATCCAATCCTGCGTTCGTCGCGGCAGCGGGCGTCGCGCAGTAGCACCTTCGACTAGGGTAATCCTGGTCGGAGAAACGGTGGCGATGTCGACGTCTGGCTCTACCTCGACGTCAGCGGGCTCATGCCATCTGGCGATGCGGAGGAGTGGCCCCTGCGGGTTCTTGTTGGACGGTGGTCCCAATTGGAACTCGAAAATATAATTCGCACCTGGCACACACACACACACACACACACACATTGATGATTGGCACGCGGTATTCGGCCTGTAGTTTCTGAGGTACTCGTTGTCGTCGACCTCCACGAGTGAAGTTTCTGTTGGGGTCGTCTTCGTGCGCATGTAGCCTGGCACACGTCTGTGCTGTTATGTGCACGTTGCCCATGCTGAAGATCAGGTTGTCGCTGTGTGGGCGTATGGCTCTGGCCCCACGTGTGACCAGCACGTTCGCCAGGTAGGACAGCAGTGGCAATGTTTCGCTGGTCTCTAGGACGTTGCCGTATTCGCTAGTGGCATGAAGAATGAAGTCCTCGGCGCAATACGTGTTCTGCAGGTACGGTCTTCGGTTGGATTGCTCTCCGCTCTGCATGCTCGGAGGACGCCTTCTTGTAGACCTGGACATGACATCGTGGATCTGCTGGATGTTGGCCAGCTCCTGTCCGTGAGGTCCTGTCTCGGGTGGGTCGAGGTAGATCAAGCAGTTCTCGGCCATCGCCTTGGCCTTTTCCCATGGTAGAGCTGTGGTGAGGGGCCTCCTCTCCGCGACGCCGATCTGTCCCTGTTGGTGCCGCCGTGGTTGACTTTGCGACACATTGCTGTGCGGTAATGCGGCACCTTGCTGACCAATGACCCGCAGGTTCCTCCGTGCTGGCTGTAGTACGGTTCCTACTGAAGCAGCTCCAGGGTGAATCGGAGGCACTTGTGTGGCTTTCCCTTTTCCACCGACTGGTTTTGACCGGTACAACGACGGGTTCCACCTCCACTTCTGTGCTGCGTAAGTATATTCCTGGGCGGATGCTGCTAGATCGAGGTCGTACTGCAATTTGCCAGGTGCTCGTGCAGTTGGGCCGAGCCGACGTCGTCTGGTGGATGTTAATCGAAGAGTTCCCTCCCTTCTCGGAACCGTGGGCACTGCAGGACTCGTGGCTGGCCCTGCTGCTGGAACTCGGGTGGTGCACTGGGAACCGCTTCCTCTCTGCCGTGCTTCTCGAGTTGTCCAACACGTTGAGCGCTGTGTGCGGGTAGGTCATTCGTCCCTCGTGTGATCGTAACCTCAGCATGAGCTACACATGTGATCTTCGGTAGCTGGTCGAACACCTTGTAGTCGATGGTGGCGTCGCAGCGTCGCATGGGCCGATTGCGTCGGCCAGCTCTCCCCCATTGGAGATGCACTGGCGGTTCCATCAATAGTTCAAATAATAGATAGCGCCGACACGCGTCAGGTGGCCTGGCAGGTGCCGCCTCCTCCTCCTCCTCCTCCTCCAACTCCT